AATTCATAACAGAAGTTATCTCAGGACACTTTTCAAATAGAGCAGGTCTAGACCGAACTCTTTAACATTATTTACAGAGACCCAACAGTACCACCATGAGCAAGCACTTGGCGACAAGGGCAAGGAAAAACTGCCTGTTAAAAGGCAGAAACTTAGGACAGATCCTCCGGCTCTAGGTGGGTGGTCGTCTGTCTCGACCAGTTGGGGTGGAGAGAGAGAGAGAGAGAGAGAGAGAGAGAGAGAGAGAGAGAGCGACAGACAGACAGACAGGTGCACAGCAACAACAGTATTGGCAATGGCAGTCAAGCAGGACCATGGCAGGAGGCTCCACCAGGATCCATGAGAACCTGCGAGACGAGAAAGCACAAGAACTCCGGGGAAGAAGTGGAGTTAGTAACATGCATTAAAGGGACATGAATGAGTGCAGAAAGAGAGAGGAAGAGAGTAGCTCAGTGCACCATGGGAAATCCCCCGATAGTCTAGGCCTATAGCAGCATAACTAAGGGATGGTTCAGGACTCACCTGATCCAGCCCTAACTATAAGCTTTATCAAAGAGGAATGTCTTAAGCCTACTCTTGAATGTGGTGAGGGTGTCTGCCTCCCGAACCACAACTGGAAGCTGGTTCCACAGGAGAGGAGCTTGGTAACTGAAGGCTCTGGCTCCTGTTCTACTTTTAGAGACTATAGGAACCACAAGTAGCCCAGCATTCAGAGAACGTAGTGTTCTAGTGGGGTAATAGGGTACTATGAGCTCTTTAAGATATGAAGGGGCCTGACCATGAAGAGCTTTATAGGTGAGGAGGAGTATTTTAAATTCAATTCTACATTTTATAGGGAGCCAATGCAGAGTAGCTAGTACAGGAGAGATGTGATCTCTTTTTCTAGTTCCTGTCAGTACTCGTGCTGCAGCGTTCTGAATTAATTGGAGCGTTTTAATGGACTTATTGGGGCAACCTGATAATAAAGAGTTGCAGTAATCCAGCCTTGAAGTAACAAATGCATGGATTAGTTTTTCTGCATCTGTCTGTGATAGGATGTGTCTAATTTTTCTAATATTACGTAATGAAGAAGGCAGTCCTAGAGGTCTGCTTTATGTGGGAGTTAAATGACAAATCCTGATCAAAGATAACTCCAAGATTCCTGACAGTGGTGCTAGAGGCCAGTTAATGCCATCTAGAGTGACTATATCTTTAGACAATGAGTCTCTAAGGTTTTGGGGCCAAGAACAAGAATTTCGTTTTTCTGAGTTTAACATCAGAAAATTGCAGGTCATCCAGGATTTTATGTCCTTAAGACATGTTTGTAATTTAGATAATTGATTAATTTCATTGGGTTTGATTGATAGATATAACTGCGTATCATCTGCATAACAGTGAAAGTTAATGGAGTGATTCCTAATAATGTTGCCTAAAGGGAGCATATATAAAGTAAATAGTATTGGTCCAAGTACAGAACCTTGTGGAACTCCATGACTAACTTTAGTATTTATGGAGGATTCATCGTTAACATGTACAAACTGAGAACGATCTAATAAGTATGACTTAAACCAGGTTAGGGCAGTTCCTTTAATGCCAATTTGATGCTCAAGTCTCTGTAAAAGAATATCATGGTCATGGTGTCAAATGCAGCACTAAGATCTAATAATACAGTACAGAGACAAGTCCATTGTCGAAGCAGTCGAAGGTCATTATTAACTTTAACCAGAGCTGTCTCTGTGCTATGATGAACTCTAAATCCTGACTGAAAATCCTCAAATAAACTATTGTTATGTAGAAAGTCACACAACTCTTTGGCGACTACTTTTAGGGTCCATTAAAACGCTCGAATCATATATGGCTGCCACTCCACCTCCTCGGCCTGTGCCTCGAGGAATGTGAGTATTAATATGACTGGGGGGGGTGGATTCATTTAGGCTAACATACTCCTCGTGGGACAACCAGGTCTCAGTAAGACAAAGTAAATCAATATCATAATCTGATATTAATTCATTCACTAAAACAGCTTTAGAGGACAGAGACCTGATATTTAACAGCCCACATTTCATTCTCTTATTTTGTGCTACTGAGGAGTTGGTTTTAATTTTTATTAGGTTTTTATGTTGAACTCCTCTTGTTTTTATTTCTTTAAATAATGTAGGTGGTCGGGGGACAGACACAGTCTCTATGGGGTTTTGGGTGGGTGACTGTTCTAAAGAAAGCGCAGAGAAGTGTGTAAGACAGCAGCTCTGCTTCCTGGTCCTAACTCTGGACTGTCAGGTTTTAGAAATAAACTTCGCCATGTTGCTAGATAAGAGAGCCGCTCCATCCAAAGTGGGATGGATGCCGTCTCTCCTAATCAGACCAGGTTTTCCCCAAAAAGGCTTCCAGTTATCAATGAAGCCCACATCGTTTGCTGGACACCACCTCGACAGCCAGCGGTGGACTGACGACATGCGTCTATACATGTCATCACTGGTCACATTGGGCAGGGGTCCAGAGAAAACTACGGAGTCCGACATTGTTTTAGCATAATTACACACCGACTCCACATAAACCGCGTAATCTGGTGTCATTACCGCCGACGTGGATAACAGTCTTACTGTATTTACGTTTATCTTTAGCCAGCAGTTTTAAATTTGATTCAATGTCGCCCGCTCTGGCCCCAGGGATACATTTAACTATGGCCGCTGGCTTCACTAACTTCACGTTTCTGACTATGGAGCTGCCAATAACCAGAGTTGGTTCCTCAGCGGGTGTATCGCTGAGTGGGGAAAATGAATTGGAAACATGAATGGGTTGGTGGTGAACTGTGGGCTTCGGTGTTTTATGCTGCTTTCCATTTGTCTCGTGAACTCGGAACCCGAGTTGTTCTGCCGCGAGAATGTGACGTCATTGCCTGGCTTGTACCACTTATAGCGTTCCAGTTGTCTTTGGGCATTACGAGTCGGAAAGAAGTGCAGCAGCTGTGTTGTTATTGTTTGTGGCTCTAAACAAGCTCAATGTGAAATAATAATGTTTTTCTACAGAAACACTAACATTTCAAGTAATTCCGTTATTGCAAGTCTTACAGTTCAATAATATTTTGGGGCCTCCAGGAGCCTCCAGGGGCCTCCAGGGGCCACCAGGGGCCACCAGTGGCGGGCTAGCGTTATTGTTAGCTACATTAGCCTATTTAGCAGACCAGCTCGAAAACAAACCTTTACATTGTATTGAACTCACAGTAACACGGTGCAATGCATAAACTGGTGACCGGACTAGAGCAGCAATGTAAACAGTTTGTAGGAGAATTTAAAGTCGACATTAAAACGACCAACGTAGCACAAAAACAAAGAAAATACATCTTAATATGGGCGCAGCCATCTTTGTTTTGCGGGCCGTACGTGCCCCCCCGTTCAGCTCGGTCCACTGTGAGGAGCCCCGAGTGGGACGGCTGAAATTACGACCAAAAGGGGGCGTGTCTCTGTGAAATCTCGCGTGATAGCTGCGAGATTTACACTTTCCAACTCGGGTTCCGAGTTCACGACACAAATGGATCGCAGCATTATTCTTCCTTCTCTCAGTCACCCACTCTAATGCTAATGAAGCTAGCGTGTATGAAACAGTTTGAAAGTAGTGAAAAGTCGCTAAAAGAAGGAGAAACTCCGAGTGCTTAGGTAGAACTAGTCTACGTTTAAATGTTAAGCGGGAAAATAACCGCTGTAACGAGTAAAACTAATGCATATTTATGTACACAGAGCAGGAAGTAAACCGGGAATGAGTCATCAGCTTACCGTAGCACATCACATTTATTTATAGAAAGATTTATTATTGAAACAAAAACAATATAAAAAAGTTCCATTGTTATTAATCAATATCTTAAATTGATCTCTGATATATTTTATACTTCTCTTTTCTACATTGTTTTAAAAAGCTGAAGATTGCAGTCTTAATATAATATCATAAGAAATAATATAATATAATACATATATCACATCCCTCAGACAGCAAACGGAGCGCTGTCGCCTCCTGCTGGACGGACACAGCGTTACAGCCAGAGGAGGAGGAGGAGGAGGAGGAGGAAGAGGAGGTCAGGAAGGAGACGAAGAAGTGATTCTAATTAGAAAGTAACTTAGTACTTTTACTCAAGTACTATAGTATAACGTAGTCCCTCTGTGATCAATATGTCTATTAATACTGAATATATAATCTAACAGAGAATCCACTGCTTTACACACACAGAGGTCTCCTCTCCTCCTCCTCTCCTCCTCTCCTCCTCCTCCTCCTCCTCTCCTCTCCCCTCCCCTCCTCCTCCTCCTCCTCCTCCTCCTCCTCCTCCTCCCCTCTCCCCTCCCCTCCTCCCCTCCCTCTCTCCCCTCCCCTCCTCCTCCTCCTCTCCTCCTCCTCTCCTCCTCCTCCTCTCCTCCTCCTCCTCTCCTCTCCTCTCCTCTCCCTCCTCCTCCTCCTCCTCCTCCTCCTCCCCTCCTCCTCCCCTCCTCCCCTCCTCCTCCTCTCCTCCTCCTCCTCCCCCTCCTCTCCTCTCCTCTCTTCTCCTCCTCCTCCTCCTCTCCTCTCCTCCTCCCCTCCTCCTCCTCTCCTCTCCTCTCCTCCTCCTCCTCCTCTCCTCTCCTCCTCCTCCTCCTCCTCCTCCTCCTCCCTCTCCTCTCCTCCTCCTCCTCCTCCTCTCCCCTCCTCCTCCTCTCCTCTCCTCCTCCTCCTCTCTTCTCCTCTTCTCCTCTTCTCCTCCTCCTCTCCTCCTCCTCCTTCCCCGATTTAATGGATATAGTGTTGCTCCTATGAACTCACACACTGCACTATGTGTGTGTGTGTGTGTGTGTGTGTGTGTGTGTGTGTGTGTGTGTGTGTGTGTGTGTGTGTGTGTGAGTGTGTGTGAGTGTGTGTGTGGGTGTGTGTGTGTGTGTGTTTCCCTCGAGATTTCCAAACCACAGTAACTGAAGAGCTATTGATTTATTAAAGGCTCCCTCAGGACTCAGAGGTGTTGGAGGAAGTACTTTCCTCATATATAAAGATGGCCGCCATTGCAGCTCTATCTCCCCCTGGTGGCTGACTGCAGTATAGACTCTCTCTCTCTCTCTCTCTCTCTATCTCCCCCTGGTGGCTGACTGCAGTATAGACCTCTCTCTCTCTCTATTTCCCCCTGGTGGCTGACTGCAGTATAGACCTCTCTCTCTCTATCTCCCCCTGGTGGCTGACTGCAGTATAGACTCTCTCTCTCTCTCCCCCTGGTGGCTGACTGCAGTATAGACTCTCTCTCTATCTCCCCCTGGTGGCTGACTGCAGTATAGACTCTCTCTCTTCTCCCCTGGTGGCTGACTGCAGTATGGACCTCTCTCTCTCCCTGGTGGCTGACTGCAGTATAGACTCTCTCTCTCTCTCCCCTGGTGGCTGACTGCAGTATAGACCCTCTCTCTCTCTTCCCTGGTGGCTGCGTATAGACTCTATCTCTCTCCCCCTGGTGGCTGACTGCAGTATAGACTCTCTCTCTATCTCCCCCTGGTGGCTGACTGCAGTATAGACTCTCTCTCTCTCTTTCTCCCCCTGGTGGCTGACTGCAGTATAGACTCTCTCTCTCTCTATCTCCCCCTGGTGGCTGACTGCAGTATGGACTCTCTCTCTCTATCTCCCCCTGGTGGCTGACTGCAGTATGGACTCTCTCTCTCTATCTCCCCCTGGTGGCTGACTGCAGTATGGACTCTCTCTGCAGGTTCACAGTGATGTTCATTACAGGTCGGTGGTCGCCCCTGTGACTGTATTTAACCACAGTGATCATTAACAGGATGTATACATGTCAGTATGTCAGTTCTCTGGAAGGAAATAGACCGGGTGCTGAACCGATGCTGCTCCTCGTCCAACAGACTGACAATGAGAGCTGAAATAAAAGTGTTGTCACTTCTACGTTAAAACCAACTCCCCAGTTTACTTTCAAACAATATATAAATAAATATAAACAATATACCCACCTACGTTTATCTGGAGCTAAAATACTATTCATACATTCAAACATCAATTATTTGGTCTAACAGTCGACTGACAGTCTCAGAGGAACCAAACCGATATTAAACTGCGTTCAGGAGATGCTCCTCGTCCTCGGGAATACTGCTGGGGAGCGGGGCCCGAATGAGCCACGAGACCGGAGTGGGGCGGACCGACGGAGGCCGGCTGATGTCCAGCGGCTCCGACCAGGACTCTGACTCAGGGGATGAAGACTCGGCGGGTTCAGGCAGCGACAGGAGAGGAAGAGGAGGAAGAGGAGCCAGTTTGTAGCCAGTTAATTATCAGTAACTGTTAATGTTATCCATCATCCATCGTATCGATCAGTCTGATCAGTTTCAGTGAAGTTGGAAGTTATTGAACAACCAGACTGTGTGATGTTACACTGTGTTACTGCTTGTTCTGATTCACAATCATTACTGCTGGTTAACAGGTTCTAATCAATACAGTGATATCAGAAACATGATGAGAAGTTGACATGGAGCACTTTCGATATGGGGGCAGTTCTGGAATATTAATAAAATGTGTTTAAAAAGGTGGTTCCATGATATTCAATTCAACTCAGTTTTATTTGTATAGCACCAATTCATAACAGAAGTTATCTCAGGACACTTTTCAAATAGAGCAGGTCTAGACCGAACTCTTTATAACATTAATTACAGAGACCCAACAGTACCACCATGAGCAAGACCTTGGAGACAAGGGCAAGGAAACACTGCCTGTTAAAAGGCAGAAACCTAGGACAGATCCTCCGGCTCTAGGTGGGTGGTCGTCTGTCTCGACCAGTTGGGGTGAGAGAGAGAGAGAGAGAGAGAGAGACAGACAGACAGACAGACAGACAGACAGGTGCACAGCAACAACAGTAGCAACAACTACACTAATAGTAGTGAGGGGAACAATGAGCAGTGAGAATAGTAATAATTGTAGCTGTAGTAATAATAATAATAATAATAATAATAACAATAATAATAATAATATCAGTGATATTAGCAATGGCAGTCTAGCAGGACCATGGTAGGAGGCTCCACCAGGATCCGAGAAAGCACAAGAACTCCGGGGAAGAAGTGAAGTTTTCCACCCTGATCAGTGTATTTATATATAATCTATATATTATATTAGCTCTTTATGTCTGTTTCCTGTAATCTATCACACACACACACACACACACACACACACACACGCGCGCGCTGATGTCAGCCTTATTACCCTGAATACCCCCCTCATCACACTGACTCCTCCCTCTGAAGGCGGAGCTCTCTCTCACTTCCTCTGTCCTTCCTGGTGCCACACACACACACACACACACACACACACACACGCACACACTTATTGCCTGTATGAGAGAGAGAGGGAGGATGGTAGAGAGACATTAACTCGTCATTGCTTTCAGTGTATAGTAAAGCTCCATTAAGCTGCTACCTGCGGGCACGCACACGCACACACATATGCAAACACACATGAGTTGTGTGTGTGTGTGTGTGTGTGTGTGTGTGTGTGTGTGTGTGTGTGTGTGATCTTTGCATTTTTACCTGCAGTGGACATCACGCACTGTCACGCATGCACGCGCCTCTCGCAGCGCACGCACGCTCACGCACGCAGCAGCACCGAGGGAGCGATCAATACACTAAAAGCCCGGAGAGGATTTTAACGGGAGCGGAGGACGGAGGAGAACCGGAGAAAGAACGGCAGCATTATGAAGGTAACGGAACCGGGAAACCTGTGTTTGTACCGGTGTGTGTGTGTGTGTGTGTGTGTGGCACGGGGCACCGGGCACCGGGGCGCGTTCTCGCTCGGTTTGACCGAGAAACCCGGTTGTTGTGTTTGAGTCTCTGCAGGTTCAAACGGCGCCGTCAGCACATTCACAGCCGACACAGGCAGCCTGCAGCCCGGGCTGAGGAGCAGCGGAGGGTCGGTCAACTCCTCCATCATCCACCGTGCGTGTGCGTGTGCGTGCGAGTGACTGTGTTGTGTGTGTGTGTGTGTGTGTGTGTGTGTGACTGTGTGTGTGTGTGTGTTTACATGGTGGACAGCAGCTGGATCTGCGCTATATGCTGCTCTTTGTCTGCTGGTAGAATGAACAGCAGCAGGAGGAGGTGCACAGGAGGAGCAGCTACTGTATCAGACTGACTGATGGAGTGCACAGTAAGCAGAAGAGGTGCTGTATGAATGAGGAGGTACTGTATGAAAGAGGGGGTGCTGTATGAATGTTATATTCTGTTTATTAGAGGAGGTATGAAGAGGAGGTGAATGAGCAACAGCAGCACAAAGTGGGGGATAAACAGAAGGAGGTGCACAGGAAGAGGTATTACAATGATTGCATATAATTGGAGAGAAGGAGGTGCTGGAGAGGAGGTGTATACACACAAGAGGTTACAGTGGTAACTATAGATGTACATTGAGAAGAGGAGGTGCTGTAGTGAGGAGGAGGAGAAGATGTGTTGTAATGTTTTCAAGCAGTAAGAGGAGGTGTCATTGGTGGTATATTGAGGAGTAAGGAGGTGCTGTTTCTTACCGAAGAAGAGGTGATGGAGCAGGACGAAGCAGCACAAAATGAGGGATAGACATTTGGGGAGAGGGAGGTGCACAGGAGGAGGTATAATACCTGAAAAAGGAGGAAATATTACAGTGATTGTATATAATTGGACAGAAGGAGACACTGTGCATGACTAGAGAGGAGGAGGTGTATATACATAGGAGGAGCTGCTACAGTATGAGACTACACAATGGAGTGCACAGGAAGGAGAGGAGGTGTCATTAGTGGTGTATTGAGTAAGGAGGCTCTGTATTGATGAGGAGGAGCTGTATTGATGAGGTGGAGCTGTACTGATGAGGAGGTGCTGTACTGATGAGGAGGCTCTGTACTGATGAGGAGGTGCTGTATTGATGAGGAGGCTCTGTACTGATGAGGAGGTGCTGTATTGATGAGGAGGCGCTGTACTGATGAGGAGGCTCTGTACTGACGAGGAGGTGCTGTACTGATGAGGAGGTGCTGTCTTGGTGTTGCTGTTGTAATGTATTAAAGCAGTAAGAGGAGGTGTCATTAGTGGTGTATTGAGTAAGGAGGTGCTGTTTCTTACTGAGGAGCAGGTGAGTGGGCAGGAAGAAGTAAGGGATAAACATTTGAGGAGAAGGAGGTGCTGGAGAGGAGGAGGTTACAGGGGGAACTATAGATGTACAGTGGGGAGAGGAGGTGCTGTTTGGATGAGGAGGTGTTATTAAAGGGTGACTCCAGGTGTCACTCACACACAGTTGTTGTTGTTGTTATTGTTTTTGGATCCTACATTTCCCACAATGCAACTGGAGAGTGTGTGTGATTGGAGGTGCACATTATGAGGATATAATGGACACCAGAACTGTCTGATACAGTTGGAGAGCATTTAGCATGTGTTGTCTTTAGCCTAGCTTAGCATAAAGACTGGAAGAATAACAGCCGTCTCCCTCTGGAGGAGCTGGGGATTGAACCCGGAACCCACCGGGTACCAGACCACTGGTTCCTAAAGATGTGGTTCTGTATCTCAGCTGTCAACGGTTCTGAAATCTACAGTGAATACAGTCGGGGGTCTGAAGTGGATCTGGTCTGTCAGCAGATCCGGTCTCTGCAGTCTGACTCAGCTGATGTGGATCATTCAGATCAGCAGACGGCGGTTTGTCTGTTTGTTTGTTTGTTTGTTTGTTTGTTTGTTTGTTTGTTTGTATGTCTGTTTGTTTGTTTGTTTGTTTGTTTGTATGTCTGTTTGTTTGTGAGGTCTGAAGAAGGAAACAGAGAGACGTTTCAGTCTTTGTTGCTTTAAAGCCTGAATGTGGCTGCTGGAGCCAGGAGGACCGCTGTCAGTAAATCATCCAGTAAACAGTTTATTTACACATATGAAGCTCTAGTTTCTGCCACTAGGGGGCCTCTGACATTATTCGAGCCCACCTGCCCGTCCTGCCAGGATCTTTCCGTCCCGATGTGGTCGGCTTCTCTGGCTTTGGCTTCCTGTGCTGGCCACCACCGCATCAGGCTGACAACCTCCTCTCCTCACCTGGACCGCCGGGCTAGCAGGCTGGTGGCCCCTCTCCTCCTCATCGGATTATTGGCTGCGGTTAAGCTGTGGATTATCCCGTGGATACTCCTGGGGTACACGTCACCTCTTCATCCACAGATACCTGGCTTCTGGGCAGAAGCTCCACACCTGGATCATGCCACCGCTCTACTCCACCGATGACCTCCACTCACTCAGCAACCACCTCCGCCCGGACTGCATTGACATCCTCTGAGAAATTGGACTACTTCGCCATCCTCCACAGAGGCTCTGGTCGTATGTTCACAACTTTTCAACCCCAAACTCTATTCCATCCATCTGGTCCTGCTCGCGCACCGCAACTTCCTCATTACGTCAGCACAACAAACGTCACATGCACCTATCTAATCTCCACCCCCTTCCTTGGTCCTCACAACCCATCACGAAGCAACGTCACCTGAAACTGGCTTTGCTCAACACCCGCTCACTTAACAATAAAAGCCTCATTTTAAGTGAATTCATAACTGACAATAACCTGGATTTCCTCTGTATCACTGAAACCTGGCACAAACCTCTGGACTATTTCTCACTCAACCAGACCACACCCACAGGTTCCACTCCTCTGGTCACTGCCATAATCTACTGCCCCCCAAAACCAAATCCTTCCTTTCTCTCCGACTTTTCTGACTTTTTAACTCAGTTATCTGCCATCTCACCTTCTGTTCTAACCTTACACTGCTTCAACTTCACCCAACACGTCAACTTTCCCACCCACAGCCGTGGTCGCATCTTGGATCTGGTCTGCTCTACTGGGCTCACCATACCTCACCTCTCCAGCCTCAACCTCAACATCTCTGACCACCTGGCAATCACCATAGACATTGATCTTCCCATTTCTACCACCAAGGACAAACGGACAATTTCTTTCAGAAATCTCAAATCCATCTCCCCTTCTGCCCTTTCAGCCTCTCTTGGCAGCAAAATACCAAATTTCCAATCTCCCATTTCTGTCTAAGATACTGGAACGCACTGTCGCCAAACAACTCAAAACCCACCTCTGCTCAAATGACCTGTTCGAACCATTTCAATACAGCTTCCGTTCACAACACAGCACTGAAACAGCCCTCCTCAAAGTCACCAACGACATCCTCCTCTCTGCAGACTCTGGTCACCTCAGCATCCTCATCCTCCTGGACCTCACTGCAGCTTTTGACACCATCAACCACACCATTCTTCTCTCCCGCCTCAAATCTTCCCTCAGCATCACCGGCATAGCCCTCTCCTGGCTCCAATCTTAGCTCACAGACAGACAACAGTTCATCCACATCAACAACTGCACCTCCTCCACCGCTCCGCTGTCCCAAGGCATCCCCCAGGGCTCGGTGCTTGGTCCTCTCCTCTTCATACTCTACCTGCTTCCCCTTGGCAACGTCATTCGCCACCATGGTCTCAACTTTCACTGTTATGCCAATGACGTCCAGCTTTCCATCTCCACCAAATCCATCAACTCCGCCACTCACTCCACTCTCTCCAACTGCCTCACTGATATTAAATCCTGGATGCACACCAACTTCCACCAACTTCCTCAAACTTAACTGCAACAAAACAGACATCATCATCATTGGCCCCAAATCCATCACTAAAACCATTCACAGTTTCTCCCTCACTGTCGACACCTCCACCCTGTCTCCATCGCCTCACAGTCCCAACCTTCGAGTCATCTTTGACAATGACCTCTCCTTTGAACACCACATAAACCAAATCACCAGAACTGCCTTTTTTCACCTCAAAAACATCGCCCGACTCCGCCCATCACTCTCTTTCTCTGCCACAGAAACCCTCAATCACGCCTTCATCACCTCCAGAATCGATTACTGCAACAGCATCCTCTACGGCACACCATCCAAAACCTTAAATAAACTCCAGTACATCCAGAACTCTGCTGCTTGTCTGCTCACCTACACCTGCACCCGTGACCACATCACCCCTGTCCTCCAGAACCTCCACTGGCTCCCGGTCCCACAACAAATTCAATTCAAAATCTTCCTCCTTACACACAAAGCCCTCCATAACCAGGCCCCTTCCTACCTCACTGACCTGCTCCACCGCCACAATCCATCCAGCAGCCTCCGCTCAGCCGATGCCACCTCCTGACTCCACCACCCAGGACCCATCACCGAACCTGGGGCAACAGAGCTTTTTCTGTAGCTGCCTCCTCCCTCTGGAACTCTCTCCCCAAACACATCCTAAACTGCACCGACCCTCCAAAATTTAAATCTCTGACAAAAACTCACCTTTTTAAAATTGCTTTTAATGTTTAGCTTAGATTGATGTGTTTCTTTTAGTGTTTTACTATCTGATGTTGTTTTGCTGCTTTTATGTTTTAATGTGTGTGTCTTTGACTATCTAGAAAAGCGCTTATAAATAAAATGTATTATTATTATTATTATTATTATTATTATTATTATTATAATCGCTAACGGCCCGGAGAGAAACACGCTGCTGATCTGCGGTGCTGGTGAGAACCGCTCGGCCTCGCTGTTTCATTCAGAGGTGGACTGTACTCTGGATTTATGAAACTGAGACAATTACATATAAAGTGATGTTCAAACTGCTGACCTTTGACCCCTGGTGGTACAAACACACTTAGTGGACCTGTGTGCTGATGATGTCATCAGACGCTGCCCGCTGTGTGTCT